TTTCTAGTGCCTTTAAGGTACGGCATTAACCTCACGAGTATCTTTTTTTTTTAATTTATCTATTATTTTTGTAAACCTAATTGTTCAATGGAGCATATATTCATAAGAAAATAGCGCAGTTTTTTAAAAGTGCGTATATATATATGCCGTGTATTACAAAATAATAACGCACTTTATTAGCTTTTTTGTTAATGCATCTGATTGTGCGATATTGGGACATACTTAGGGCTTAAAGTTTGATTTTTGTTTTGTTTCATTTATTATAAACCAACTGCTTCTTACCGTGATTTTCACAATATTGAAGGTCTTCATCGCTGCCATCTTCGCAGTCGTAGAATCCGTCGCACATCCATTCTAGCGATATCATGTTATCACCAGACTTACACTCGAACCCTGCCAGGTAAAACAGAGTAAAAATAAATGTAAACAAAAACATTACATGAATGCTTATTCTGTTGTTGCCCAACGGGGGGGGGGGGGGGGGGGGGGAGGGGTAATGAGTGAGCACCAAAAATACCCCCCCCCCCCCCGTGGATCCGCGTCTGCCTGAACCATAATATATTTCAAAAGTACATTATGTTTCACAACATACGCCTATTAAATAGGGATTGTGCTTTTTAAGCGATGATGGAATAATAAGACAGAATAAACATTACTTAAACTTACCTTGGATATCGAATTAAATCAAATTGTTATAGTTCTCTAAGAGATTGTGCTTGCATCTCTGATTCTTTTTGTATGCCCATGTGGATTTTTTTTTCTTTTAAAAGTCTAGAAAAGCAATCGTGGTAGGTACGTCGGAATTCCGTTATAAAGAACATCTTAATAACAAACTCTCACTTCTCCGTATTTTATTATTCTTATAATTTGTTTCGGATCTTTTGTTTTTGAATTTCACTGTAAATCATTCTAATACTAGGTAATTGTATGTATAGAACCTGATGTCCTCTATGCAGTATACAGTACCATTCAACTTCGGAAAAATTCCTATATAGATAAATGTCATCAGATTTTCCAGTGAATCGTACATACCGTCATATTGGCATTTAATCCCTTCATCTGACAAATCACGACAGTCACTATACCAATCACAGGCTAGATAAGCGGGGATGCATGACCCGTCATCGCACTGGAACTCGTCCTGGTAGCACGATGACGATTGGCGACGTGGTCGTCTGATGGTCATTTCTCCTGAAGAATGAAATATGTTTTTGAACTGTGGATCACATAGCTCGCGGTTCGAGTCCCGCTACGGCACTAATGTCCTTTGGCAAGATATAAATTTACTTTTAACATTCTCCAGCCATGGGTTAAACGGGTACCAGTAGTAAGGAATTTATTGAATGCTGTTCAGCACCGAAATCGGTAGCCTAGCAGAACCTGTGAAATTGCGTGGTGGGTATATGCGCTATAAAAATATCCGATATCATTATTATTTACTAGCCTACTTCTAAAATTGTTCTAGTTCTTGTTGTACTTTTCCTATTCCTACTCTTGTTTTCTTCATTATTTTTCTTCTTCCTCGTCATTCACAATCACTATCATCAACACAACCCAAAAATCCTTCTCTACCTTCTATTAATGACTTGTCATTTAAGGAGGCTACTTTCTTAAACTTGTTCTAGAAACAAATTTACTAAACCTTTGCTCGAGCTATTTCTTGCAAGCCTTTAAAATGATTCACAATGCATTGCACCACATCAACTCGTCCATGTAAATGTTGTAGGCCTATGTGTTAATCAAATTTAGAGTTTGGTAGCTTACCGTTTGTCCGGCTGTTGCAATCTGCTTGAAGAATGGTGACAACGATGACGAGAACGGCTAAAACTTGACGTCTTGAAATTAAAAGCAAAGTTGACAATGACATCTTGTTTCAAACGTTCTAAAATATTAGCGATATTCAAACTGATATTTAAACTGTGACGGTAATTTTATTAGAGAGCCGACAGACCAGTCTTTTTTTAACCATTGTAAATTATCTTCTCGCGTTCCGACATCAAAGATAGGACCTTGGAAATCCATTGAAATCTACTAATTAGTATCCAACATACCATCTTAGTAATGCATTCTGATTAATGTGTGCTTTCTATCTCCTAACAACGTGACGAGGCATGCCATTCAGCTGTTTCAAAACAACAGATTTCCTTTTGTTAATTGACCTTTTTGGGGTGTTTAATACTGGAATGGCTCGAGGTCTGTGTCTCTGGCCAACCTTGGGCAATCTTCCAATTGGTCGCTAAGAACAACCTTTGTCCTAAAGGCTTGCATAAAATGATTGGTTTGAATGGTCTGCTGCCATTACATTATTTAAGGGTGTATCTCACTGAACCCCCCCCCCCCCGTTCATTTTTTTTTTGTTATGTGTGTGTTTTGAAGGAAACCCCCCCCCCTCCCTCGCTTTATTTATTTATTTTTAATTTTAAAAAAAATGAAAAATGCTAATGGGTGACCTAAAAAAGGTGACCTAACCCCCCCCCCCCTCAACGGAACGAAATGTTGATCGGTCAAATTTTCAAATTTCTGGAGCCCAGTGAAATATGTTCCCCCCCCCCCCCCAAAAAAAAAAAAAAAAAAGAAAAAAAAAAAAAAAAAAAAAAGAAGCGAACTCTGATTTTCGCCAACATTCGTCAGAAAAGTTGGCAAATCCAACTTCACAAAGTTCCAGCATTCGCCGCTCAGTGAGACACCCTTTACAGAGGATAAAACCTTGTAACATTATGTGATGTTGCTTGCCATTTTCGGTTGAATAAAATTTAATTATTATTATTAAGTACTTTTATTAGTAATTATTCAGGTCGTCAAAAGTAATACCTAAATAAAGTGGTGTATTGTCCGACTTTTTCGATAATAATAACATTTTTGTCAGTATAATCACGCACTATTGCCATGTTTCTGTCAATTTGACGATTACTTCATACTAACAAAAAGAGTAATAGGAGTAAACTATACGATTGAGGATTTTATGAATTCATTTCTAAAATCACCTTTCAATACCACTATTGATACCCTCCCCACTCAGTGTTATTTAGGGTACGCATATGCGTGTTCCAACAGACCCCCCCCCCCCCTTTTCAGCAAAATTCCGGTGTGTAAGGTCAATACGGCTCGACCTTTTTCTTTTGTATACGAGCCTTTTTCAGCACCCCCCCCCTTTCAGCAAAAGTCCGGTGTGTAAAGTCAGTACGGGTCGACCTTTTTCTTTTGTTACGAAAAGGACATTTTGGCAACACGCATGGGGTCCGTCCGTTCTCGGAGTGGGGGGGGGGGGGGGCGGGAAGGGGACATAACAAATGGGTCATGACTAACCGACTTCCCAACCATATTTGGTGGGTGGGGTGGTAGTAGCCACATTAATAGTTATCATTTTTATTTTCATCAGCATCATCCTCATAATCATTTAAAAAAGCTCCATCATCATCATCCTCTTCATCATTTCTAACCATTGCGCTGACATCGTCACTACTGTACCGTTCTGGCAAACTCCCCGTTGGCTTTGCCGAATGCGTTGGAGAAGTGTTACAAAAGTCAAAATATGTTGTGCAGCTCCTCCAACCAGACCAATTCTTCTATCACCTCCATCATCATTACTGTTATTACCATTATCATCTTCGTCATTTCAACCACAGTTACATCAACATCAGCAGCATCATCCTCCTCATCATCAGTCATCATCACCGCCACCACCACCACCATCATCCTCACCAGTGTTAATATAATCATCCACCATCATCACCGCTGTTTATAGCATCATCGTCCTCTTCATCATTCTATCCAGTGTAATAACATCCTCACTACTGGAAAGTTTGGGGATATGCTCCGCTTGGCTATGCCGAATGTGTTAGAGAAAAGACGAAAACGTCGAAAAAGGTTTGTATGTCTTTGTCACTATCACCATCCTCATCATGATGATCATTATCGTAGTCATCATCAGTCATAATTATTATTATCATCAGTCATCATCATCATCATCATCATTATTATCATCAGTCATCATTATCATCATCAGCAAAATCATCAGATTTAATCATCATCATCAGTCATCATCATCATTATTATTATCATCAGTCATCATTATTATTATCATCAGTCATCATCATCAGTCATCATTATCATCATCAGACATCATCATCATCATCATCATCATCATCATCATCATCATCATCATCAGTCATTATTATCATTATCATCATTAGTCATCATTATCACCATCAGTCATCATCATCAGTCATCATTATCATCATTAGTCATCATCATCATCAGTCATTATTATCATCATCAGTCATTATCATCACCATCATCATCAGTCATCATTATCATCATTATCATCATCAGTCATCATTATCATCATCTTTATCACCATCAGTTATCACCCTTATCCTTCTCTTCATCATCAGTCACCATCATTATTTTCATCATCATCAGTGTCATCATCATCAGTCATTATCATCATCATTATCATCATCAGTCATCTTTATCACCATCAGTCATCACACTTATCCTTCTCTTCATCATCATCATTATCATCATCAGTCATTATTATCATCATCAGTCATCATTATCATCATCAGTCATTATTATCATCAGTCATCATTATCATCATCAGTCATCATCTTTATCATCATCAGTCATCATCATCAGTCATCATTATCATCATCAGTCATTATTATCATCATCAGTCATCATTATCATCATCAGTCATTATTATCATCATCAGTCATTATTATCATCAGTCATCATTATCATCATCAGTCATCATTATCATCATCTTTATAATCATCAGTCATCATCATCAGTCATCACCCTTATCCTTCTCTTCATCATCATCGGTCACCATCATTATTATTATTGTCATCATCATCACCATTGTCATCAATTATCATTAACACTTTTTTAAAGAATATAACTATCCTCATCATTGTCTTTTACATCATTGTCTTTTACATCATCATCATCTGTCTCATTATTGGTATAACAACGAAAGCAACGCATAACAAAAGATATAAGTTTTATTTGATTTTCTTTAATGCATTGAAACCATTTGAGATTAATGTTTCAAACTTAGATAAGTCATGGCAAATACACAAGTTGGCAAAGACATTAGGTGATATTAAATCCATTCATTTTACCAATTATTTTTGATTCACTAGGTACATTCACAATACTTATCCAGGAGAAAAAAACACATTTTCTACCAATATGGAAAATTCCTTCCTGCATGTATTCCTCAGTTTCTTTTTTGCTTCTCAATGTTTTCTTTTCATGAATTTGGCCCCTCTCATGTGGAGTTGAAGAGAAATACAAGTTCAACCTTTACAATATTCGGTCTGATAGATATATCCAAGTCTTTAAACTTTGTTAAATACACTGTAGCATGAAAACAAGCACTATAAATACTCTTGCGTCCAAAAATAGACTCCTCAAATTTTGATTTCATATATAACAGATTGAACTCGATCTCTTTTAGATACAACAGACAGTATATATTATTGTCTATTCTGATATTTATATGCATCATCGGTCATCTCATAAATAAAGGTTAATTAATTTTGTTGCAGTCATTTTTTTCATCAGGTTTAATTTCTTTCAAGTTAAATGGGGCCAACAACAACAACAAAAACTTTCTGACAATAAACTTCAAGACCAATACTTTTCTACACATCCACGATTTGTAAAAGAGCTCTTCATACCCATACCACCTTGTGGAGGAACTTTGCAATGAAAAGAATCACTTTCAAATAGTGCTTGATACACTTCAAAACAAATGATAAATATGACCTAATTATTGAAAATCATATCAATTGTATGGAACCGGGTATTTCTGCTATTTACTTTATACACTAAAACCGTTACCTTGCTAAAGTACCATAGCGTCAGACGCAATATATAAAACTCTGTATGAATAGATAGATGGGTTTTTTTTATGCGACAAAGTCTTCTCCCTTCTTGATGCTCGACTTGAGTTCTGCCATTGCATCTTTAACGAGCTGCTGCTCGTAGTCGGACAGTGTACCGAAGCCAAGGTTCTTCTCTAGGCCATTTTTCTGTTTGGGGGAAAATGAGCAAAAGAAAGATGTTGTCATGACAAAATATGGCAGAGCTAGAAATGTCACTTTGTTTCAAGGTGATAAAGAGTGAGCTCAAATAGAACTACTGAACTAGTGACAATGACCACCCTTTAAGTTTATAAAGCAAACTTTCTGTCCTGCATTTGTGGCCCAGGGTGGAGAATTTGCAAGATTTGCAAGATCCCTCACACACTGTCACTAAAAGTCTACTTTGCACCTTCATTGCCAAAATGTTCCTGATGAGCAATTCATATATATGCTGAAACTCAAAATGTTTGCAAAGACAAAAAAAAACGTTTGCTTTGATCAACGTGACAAAGCCTTAAGTTGACCAAAAAAGGGATTAAATTTTAAGCATAAAACCTTCGGCTTTAGGTCCAAGCAGACATGAATTGCTTGAAAACAACCAAATAATTTTCATAATCATAGTGGGTGCTTCATATTCTCAATCAAATAACAAATATGTGAAGGAGTTGGATTGTTGTTCTCCAGTTGATCACCCGTTTCCTTTGTTTAATACAGAGATATTTCCTCTTGCCGTTCATTTACATCTTTAAGTAGTCACCCTAAGAAAATTCCCGACAACTGATAATTATGGACAAATTATACATGGAGGGAAAGATTTTCTCTAAAAAAACATGAATAATCCCCTTAAAAAATCATGTAGATATCAAGGAAAGGCATAAAATGCAATTTTGTGGCTAGCTGTGTCTTGCATGTCACAAATCTTGAGGCTCTACAGAGGACCGCTGAAGGCAGAAAATCTGGATCTCAAAATTAACATTTTTGAGAGATGATTACTGCGGGCTCAAAACATATTTTGAAGATGGAAGTTGTTATATTAATCAGTAAGGCTACACCTTCGCAATGATATGAATTTTGCATCAATTCAAAACACTTTTGATTCTTCGGGCGACTACTTTCAGATCTGCCTCTGCTGTCTTTTAGCCGGTTACCGCATCATATCTGAACGGGGCCTCTTAAGCAACTCAACTTACCCCTAGGAGGATAGGGTTGGCAAAGTAAGATGATTCTGTCAGGTCAGATTTGACGTAAGCACATTCAATGACTCCTTCCTTTCCCTCGATGGCTGCTAGGAGCTGAATGAATGGGGAATAGAAATGTCACATATAGTTTTGTGCAAAATGAAAAAATATATACACATGCATTTGATTTGAATATTAACATATTTTAGTTTGTGCAAAATAAAAAAATATATACACATGCATTTGATTTGAATGTTAACATATTTTTTTACTTTTCTTCCACTCTGTCACTTTAGCTTGGTTGAAAATAACTGTAAAAAATTGAATTTTCAACAGGCTCCTCTGACACAATAAAATTGTGTTAATGTTGACAGATACATGAAAATACACAAAACAAAACTGCAAAGTAAAAAATGCAATCTCTATCGATCTGATTTTGTTCCTAATCAGCCTAATTATTCAATTAGAAAAATTATCAATGAATTTTTGAAATATTCAACACTTACTAACTTACTTATTACAAAATAAATCTATAAATTTGAGAATTTCTTTATACTTACCGAGAAGCAGAATCTTGCTGCAGCATAGGCCATGGAGAGAGTGGCGGAGCCCTGTGAGACAAGAACATATGTGAATTATAAAGCACGTCACTCGTAAAGCCTTAAGAATTAAGGCTCAAAGAAATTGTGAATCAAAAATCAAGAATACTATTTCAAAACATTCTTGAGTTCTTTTTCTTCCTACAAGTCTCCTTTTCGCACAAACGACATAAGTAAACAGTAGAATCTCCCATACCCTACCACCCCTCCCCCCTTGCCTTTTCTCTTTACTCTGTTAAATATCAAGAGCACAATGAAAAGATGCAGTCATGATGCTCTACCAATCAATCTTAAAATTCTTATTCCAGATCTTATATCAAGTTTGGAAATACATACAGCTCCAGCCTTGGCCTCCACGACTTCTGTTCCTGCGTTCTGGATGCGGACGGTGAGAGCCTCCAGATCAGCTTGTGGGAAGGTAACGGCTGGAGTAGCCTGAGAAGATGAACAAGAAAATGATACTGAATGCCTTAAAGTGACTCAGTAACATTGTTGAAGGTTGATGAAAAACTGAGTAATTTTTTGTTTGAAATGTTACTTACTATATTTCTTCTACTTTACTAACCCTTAAACATGCAAAAAATCCTGAACAAATTCTCAAACCACAAAGACATTTATGGTTTTCTTTGAAGGCTTCACTGTGCGACACCCTCTTACAGTAAATTGTCCCAACCATATTTTGAATTTTCCCAACCGTTTTTCCATGAAAATAAGACATAAAACATGCTATAAAGAAATCTGTCAGCACTAAAATGTCTGGAATGGTATATAGAGCCAATTCATTGCTTGGTGACGAATTCACCTAAATTGCAATTAAATTGTAATAATTTTGGGGGAGAATTAAGGAATTGATCAGATCAGTTTATCCCAATTTGTATCATTAATGATGGTTTGTTTTCACTCAAACTTTCAGATTATCTTTAATTGTACATCTAACATTGTAGTCGCTACCTAAAGACCAATTTCTCTCATCTGAACAATGTTATCAAGTCCCTTAAGTAATATAACTACAAACTGACACATTGGAAAAACTGATATCTTGCTTGCTTGTTGATACATACCTGTGAAAGGAGAGGTATGATGGTGACGCCAGCATGACCGCCAATGACTGGGACTGAAGTGGCAGATACATCAAGTCCCTTGATTTGGGAAACAAAGGTGTTGGCACGCACCACATCCAGCGTGGTCACGCCAAAGATCTTGCTGGGGTTGTAGCATCCAGCTTTCTTGTAAATCTCTGAGGCGATGGGGACCGTCGAGTTAACCTGCAGGATAAAGAATGAATCAAATAGCTTCCTAAATGAAGGCGCAATAGCTCAGTTGGTGGAGCAGTGGTCTTGTAATCCGGCGACCCGGATTCGAAACCAAGTCGGTGCACTAGTACCCTTCCGTAAGGCATTCATCCTCATTGTAACCAGGTCCCTCGGAGAGGGTCTAAAGCCGTCTGTCCTCTGGTTGCTTACTAAACAAGCGTTAATACTTTAATATGTGTAATATATATTTAATGATGGTTGATAGTTTTTCCATTAACTACCTAGACAAATGGGAACTTCTTTTCTTCTTCTTCTTCTAAAGAAATCTTTGATGAAGGAATTTACATTTGCATGGTACACATTTTGTTTAAATCTTTCACTGAACGTTCTACACAGTACACACGATTAGACATCAAATAAATTATCACATTCTCATAATCAATATTTGTAATAATGGTGAAGTATATAATACTATCTTATGATTTCACAGCATGATACATGTACATACACATAGACTTTTAGTTATGTCTCTTTTACTTACAGGATTTGTGATGATTCCAAGCATAGCTTCTGGACAAGTCTCTGCGGCTGCCTTACATAAATCCCTGACAATGGATGCATTGGTATTGAAGAGATCGTCACGGGTCATGCCTACATGAAAAACAAGACAACAAACATGCAACAAAAATACATTAGCTCAGTTTTTTTTTTTTTTACAATTTACTCAAGGAAATATTTCAAAATCCTTCAAACAATTTTGATAAAAGGCATGTATATTCTAAATGAATGAATGTACCAATAACCTTGGAATACATGTACATGTATGTTCATGCCATGCCATGGGTAGCGAGGAAGACCTTAACGTGATGAAAAGGAAAAATAATGATGTAATTAGGAGGGAGCTGACAACTGTTGGAGGAAAAGAGATGCTGGTATTGGTTGGTTGGAGGACAACCGTTTGTTTACCTGGCTTCCTTGGCACACCAGCTGGGATGAGAACCACATCACATCCTTGGAGAGCTTCCCCCAGCTGGTCTGGTCCCATGTGTCCGGTCACATTGGCCCTGGTCTCGATGTGGCTAAGATCAGCAGCTACGCCCGGTGTGTGTGCAATATCGTACAGGGAGAGCTGGCTGATCATGGGACTCTCCTTGAGTAGGAGTGAGAGTGGCTGGCCGATTCCTCCTGATGCACCCAAAACTGCCACTTTAGAGTTAGCCTGGAATTAAGATGAATAGGTAGGCAAACTAGGCATACAAGATAGCAAGAAAAGTTCAAATTCTCAAGCACACTGGGTAAAAAAATTCTCCATTTTCATCTACACCCTGTAAATTTCATTAATTTTGTTAGTAAAGAATAAATTCATGTGCAGTAAAGTTTCAACTTATGCAAATTAACTTAGTAATAAATGGGAAGCCATACATGTACATCTACACACCTACAATTTGACTTGAAGGCGAGCAAGCCATAAGAATTTTCTTTTATACTCCAATACTTAGTCTTATATTATCTAAGGTAATCTTAGAATTACCGGTATACCCAAAATCTGAGGAAATGTGATCTAAAACAATGTAACTTTGACAAGAAGGAGAGGCTGCAACTAAAGTCTGCATACTGTACATGCATTCAAGTTGCATCATACATGTACCGGTACATGCAATTCATGATTTTTGACAAGGAAGATGACATAAATGAATGAAATCAGTCCTTTCTCAACATTTCTTATTCAAGTTTGACAATTAAATCTATAGATAAAATAAAAATGAAATATTTTGTTGCATTTTAGTTTTTACTGTGTACCGGTATACTATAATCACTAAATTGCATACTTTTTTCACTAACAGAGCAACTATATTATAGGGCCACAAAATACACAAAATGTAAACGATCATCGGATCGGGGTCTGATCAGGTGCGATCGGAAAATAATAATCGGCAGATTTTCTTCTTTTTCTTTAATGCCGAAAATTTTCAAGTTTTGGGCTATTACATGCCTTTAAAAAATGCATAGCTGGGATTATTTTGTCATTTGGAGTTGTTGTAGACCCTGTTTGTTGATATTTAGTGCCTTTTCCTGACTTTGAAATTACTAATATTGGACTAAGAAAAGAGGCAAAACATGCGGGCCGCCATCTTGGATTATAATGTAGGCATGTATCGGATCGGTAATAAGGATCGTCTGCATGTCTGCGTTTACATAAACGATCCTTTTTCTCAGACCAGCTGTTAGTTAACTAGCGCCGTCGTACTTACACACTGAAAAAATGCTTAAAATTCACCTAAATGAGCTTTGATGTTGACCTTGGACTAGTCATCATGGTTTTTCTGCATCAAGATGGTTCATTGATAATTTTTGTATTTGTTGTTGTTGTTATTTTAGAGCATTTTTAGGATGTTCTGGAAGTTTGTACTAATCTTGCGAGAATATGTAGAATTACCAGTAAGGGTGCTGGTCCAAGAATAAGGATCGCCCTCATAAACGAGGATCGTCTTCGTCAACGCGGACAAACGCATCTGTAAAAACAAGGATGGTCCGCATTTTCGCAGACGTTTCATATTTCCGATCCGTGCCAAAAACAGACTTTGCGATTATTTTCTTGATTCATTTTTATTGACTTTGTACAGAGACTTTCACGACACACGTTATGAGCGATAAATCCTCGGGAAGACGGACAACCCATGGAAGTAGACAGTAAACTGGGGTTATTTTGTAACATGGAATCTGATTTTCGCATCGCCAGCACGCAGTTCGGGAACCCGAAAACCTGCAGAGCGCCAATGAAAAAAAGTCCGCGAAAATGCAGACGATCCTTATTTTTTAGGATGCAATTTGTCGGCGTTTACAAGGATATCCTCGTTTATGTGGACGATCCTCATTCTCGGGCCAGCGCCCCGCCCCTACTGATTTGATTACTGTTAAATTGAAACATGAATTCCTGCCATCTTGTAAAAATTCAAGGTCCTACCCTTGGACCTCTCCCCCGCCCCCACGCCATTCTACCGACGCGACTGACGATCGCGATGGACTAGGACCAAGAATGCGTTGGCGCTGTCCTTTCCTTGGCCCTGCCCTGCCCCCTAGTTTTCCACGCGTAGGCCCTGCACGCGACTGACTCATGATAATTATAACCCGGCATCCGATTTTACCGGCACATTACGGACGCATTTCGCACCAAAATTTACGCATTAATTAAGCTTCATATTTACCTCACACGAAGTTGAGAAACTCTTCATCGACTGTGCTCTCACGACACACCTCAAAATTCCGTTCTTAAACATGTTGGCTGTTATTTTCGACAAGTTATCACGAGAAATTCCAGAGTTTGAAAGAGTTACGGGTGCAGTGTTCTTCGCAAAGACATAGGGCAAAGGTCGTTATACGTTGTCTCAATTTCCAGTACTTAGTGGAAATAACATTAATTTAAAAAAAAATTCAGTCAAATAATTAATCTAAAAGAAGTTGATTGAATAAATTTAACATTTTTCTTACTACTTTGATAAATATAATACATTAAATTTGAGTTTTATATCTATATTTAAAGACAGTTATTATAGAAGCGACTGTTTTTCTCCCCTGTCCTTCGTGCAGATGACATATGAGACAGATGTACATTCTCTATAAACGTCATGCGACTGCATGCACGATGACCCCTGCCCTTGCCTGTACGTGTATAGGATGAGATAATTTACCAGTCTTCCGAGTGTAAACAAACAATGGGAGGAGCTCAGTACACATGTTCGCCTTAGCAACGCCTAATTGATGTCTGAATGCATGTAAACCATCAGCGAGTGGTGTCAGTTTTCCGACCTCAATTTAAATCAGCTGCCTGAGAATATTATCTATCAACTTAAGATGTCTTCCAAGGTGAGTTATTGTTAACGATATTTGTGGAATTGTATTATGATAACTGGGTTAGAGTAGAATTTTGGATCAAAAATGAAAAGGGTTAGTTAGCTAAATTTAGGCAGGCAGTACGTGTTTGAAAGACTGAGCTAGGCTGAGGCGAGGCAGCCAGCGAAAGAGCGACTGCCGAGGCGAGGCGGCCCTCCCGACCAGTGTCGGGGGTACTCGGCTGGCAGCCAGCCGCGCCGCTGCGGTGGACTTTTTTCCTTCTAAGTTTTATATTTCTAGTCTAGAGACTAGACCTATTAGTATTACTGTATTGACTTGTCTACATCCTGAAGAACGACCTTATTCAACTAGCTATTAATACTGTCGTCTCGATCGCATACTTTTACTAGTACTTGGGTCTAGTTAACTAGACTCTGCAAGAACTTGAAGAAGAAGAACTTAGAAGACATTTAACTTTTGTCCCAGCTGCAGCTCAGTTGTGGAACTGTTTAGTGTTGTGGATGAGTTTTTATTTTTCCTCTGGCCCTGGCTGTAGTTTTCTTCATGTTTATGAAACGGTAGAGTCGTCTCTATACTAATTAAATCTTGTAATGCCATTTGGCTTGTGATTTCTTTTTTCTTCATTCGTTGACCAAAATTGATTCTTTTTATGAAACATTTTATTTCATTCTCATTTTGTTTCATCATGCATGATTTGGTACTTGGTAAATGTAGATCTAGTTCATCATTTAAATTATGAATACTCTTTGTGGAATTTCAACTGGAGGTTATAGAATTGAAATCTCTTGTTCTGGAACCATATGGTATGGTAGGAAGAATATAAACTAGTAAATTGACCAGTCTTTCTGTCTTTCATACATTACATGATTTTGTGCCATACCAATTATTTGATGCTTTCATCTAGGTATCTACCCCTCGCCTGATCAGTAAAGTTGGAACAAGAATCTTGACGTGTGAACCTACTGAGCTCTATAACATCCTCCAACAGGCTACCGTCTACCCTGCACTTAGTGATCAGAACTACCTCCTATTGTTAGGTAAGTGATTCTATTTACCTTTCTTGTAAGATTAACATTCTCTCATAATTCAAGTAATCCTTTGCAGCATTGACTTAAGGGGAAGGTAGAGAATTTGGTTCTCATTCTGCAAATACCAGATATCTGAAAGGGTCTAGATGCTATTGACTTTACAGGAACAGACCATTTATCATAGCATCTTTCTGTGGTGCTCCATGAATAACAATCTCTTTTTTAAATTGTTTATATTGAATGACATATTTGATTTTTTTTTAAAAGAACCATAGATGATACTTGAATTTAAAATGTAATATCCTTAATTTTCATTAACTTTAAAGGCTAGTAAAATGTATTCCTAAAATCTTGAATGATGAATCAATTTGTATGATTTAATCCTTTATTCTCTCTTTCTTATATTTTGTTTAATAAAAAAACAGATGCCAGACAGAAAAATGAATACAACGAAAGTCACATTCTTACATCCAAGAGAGCTCTAAGGGTGAGTTGTAAATCATTTATTGAGATTGTTATATTGTTTTCACTTTCCACTCAAAAATCACTAGGTTCTTTGGTAAAAATTCTTGCCTAATTATATTATTATTTATTCTCCGTTTTCTCAATGACTCAAATTACAAAAACTAAAGAGACAAGTCATTTATAAGTCATTCTCTTCACTGTTTTAAAAGATTGTTTAATACATGTAGAAGGCAACTTGTTTCAAAGTCTTATTTGTTAAGGATATATTTTGATGTACTGTAGACATGTCTCTTTACTTTATATTTAGATTAATGTGTTTCCAATAAAGAGTAAAATTTGTATATTGATACCAGCATGTGAATGAAAGCATTATATATAATTGTTTACATATCGGTTTTATGTTCTTTTTTTTTGTAGACTGCAGACGACAAGTTTCTTGTACCCTACGGTGCAGAAATTGAATGTAAGATGCACGTTATTGTCCTTGATAACAATACTAGCGGTCTTTCAAAAAGAGATAGTAAGTAAACATACTGCAAATGACTTTTGATACTTAATGATACATATCATAGGAACCTTAATGATGTTTAATGAAACTATTCTCATTTTAATTGTTATTGAATCCTGTGTGTGATCATTCTACAAGAGGAATTAATTTCATATTGAAAGAAAAGAGATGGGATTTTTTCATATAGGCATGCATAGTAAAAAATCACTTATCATTTTACAACAAACAACTCTACTTTGAAGGTCAACTTCATAGTAACTTCTTACTAGTGATAAGACTTGTACTGAGCTATACACCCTCTGATCTGAAGTGCCCTCTGGCCTTTAAACAGTATATCTTCTGTTGAATTCTAAGCCAATTCTTATTTCAAATTTCAATTAGATGTACTCAAATATCAGGTAACAGGGATTAAGAGGCATTTTTTTAGATGTAACCTCCGCCCCCCCCCCTTACAAAAATTAACATCTTATTAATTGTTTTGCAGGTCCAGCCTTTAAGTGTGCGAAGGTAATGGCAGAGGCAGGTAGCAGAAACCCTGTTCGCATTCTTAGAGGAGGTTATGAAGAGTTCTCTGCCCTCTACCCTTTTCTCAGGACACAAAAGGTAACCTATCACTTGGAATATTGTCTCTTATCCACTCTCTCTCTCTCTCTCCCTCTCTCTCTCTCTCCCTCTCCCTCTCCCTCTCCCTCTCCCTCTCTCTCTCTCCCTTTCTCTCTCTCCTAAGCCCCCCTCCGACCCACCCCCTCTCTCTCCCCCACTCCTTCATCCGTATCCCCTTTTCTTTTCTCTGTCTATGTCCATCTCTCTCAATCTTGTATCCAGAGCCCAAGTTTATGAGCCATGATAAATTCCATAGATTATGATTTATTAGTTGTTCAACTGTGAAAATATGATTTGGAAAGCTAAAGAAAGTTTTAATTCAGGACAGTTCATGTTCAAATTCTTTATTTATAAAAGGAGATAAGTAAACCCCTTTTATTCTTGTTTTAAACAGATATTGTACATGCCACAAGAGTTGGATGAACTTCGGCCTTACCCAGTAGAAGTACTTCCAGGTCAACTGTACCTTGGTAATTACCAGCAAGCGTGCAGTCCTGGGGTGAAGAAAGACCTGAAGGTCAAAGGAGTGTTACATATCGCACAAGATGCTGAAGAATTGTAAGTCTATGGGATGTCATCTGTTTTCTTGATGCACTAGGGCTGTAGCTCAGAGTTATATTTATAAATTATCAATGGAAAGTAAATTCCCATTGGAAGAATTCATGTGTGTCAGTGCCGACAAGTTTCAAATTTATGATATGTCAAGATTTTTTACCAGGTATATACAAGTACATGTATATGTACATGTATGTATTCCCTAAGGGATTCTCTATTAAAATGTGAAGCCACCAAATACTTAACATGTAATTTAACAGACAAGATAAAACAGATTATATATGGCTGTATACCCTCCCTTTTTCAGTGGTACAATATTAGTGGTGTATCAGCCGAGTTGGTGTAATAGGAATTCTCGATTTCACAGCATCTTTTATCAATTCAAAGTACAGTATTCAAACATACAATTTATAGATTTCACCTTTCAGTGAGAAAGAGGAGGCTACATATGCTTCTGTATTATTATAACATTTTGCAATGTTTTGTGTAGTTAGTACTTTGTATTTCATCAGTACATTCCATGTACCCCGATCTAACACTCTAGTTTCAAAACATCATAGAAAAGAAGAAAAAAGTTGCAATTACAGTAATATCAATCCAATGCAATCTGTATTTGCTGCTCTGTTTATTTGCGATTGATATCAATTGCAGCTATGTACAAGAAAAGATAGGAGACTTCAAATTTGCAATCGATTGGAGGACTTACAATTTATTTGGATCAATCGCAACTCTTTGTAAAATAGGGGCCCAGAACTATATAAAAACTATGGTAATATTTCTATGATTTCAGACAAGACGGACTGGTCGGAGCAGAATTGATGCACTGCCCTCTCTCTGATGGGAATGAAGCGGATATGCTCTCACAGTTATCACAAGCTTGCCAGTTTATAGGTGAGAAAAGTTGAGAATTATAGTGATTACCATTGATTTATAATTTGGTAATTCACATTACACGATTTTAATTATGTAGAATACTCCTGTCTCATAACTTTAAAAGAATTGTGGAATAGGGGCCTATACTCTTTTAGCAAGTTAAGGCAACATGAATATAAAAACTATGTCCCTCAGAAATGGATATCCCATGTGTATGAGAGTCCTTCATTGTGTGATGCATTTACATGACTAGTGTGGATCAAATAGTACTGTACTGATGAAGCGGAAAGGGTCACTGTGATTATTTCTTTATTCCTGTCAGCATCATTCAAAAAATGAATCGTAACCATGTGACACTAATCTGCCGTATACTGGAATTTTTAGTTTATTTGTACACATTTCCATTAAGATATGCTGGATGTGAAAGGAAAACTGCATGGACAGGCCTTTGTCATATGATTAAAAAATTGACAATTTTTATGTAAAACAGTTATTTTTAACGTTTATTGTGTTGCCAATTAAACCATTTCCATGCTGCATTTTGTTTTAAACATCGTTTGTGTCAAATAACATATTTCAATGCAACAGAAAATAATAGACACAGGCATAGATTATGCAAATCTCTTTTGCTCTTTGTGCTTGGAAAACTGATATTTAGGTAGGACTGAATAAAATGTATTAAATCAAACCAGATTAAACTAATTAACTCTTTATATGCCACACAATATATTCTCTGTGCCAAATTGTATTTATCATGGGATAGATAGTCCAAATGCTTCAAGATTATTCAACTGTTTTCATTGCAAGATTAATCTATACCCATATTAAAAGGGTAGTTATAGAGCTGAGAGGTGGAAAAAAGCAACTGAAGTGTTAAGCAAGAGTTCTTATAAATATATTCTACGTGTATCTTGTTTGAAAATGTAGGAAAGCATGTGACAGAGAAGAATGCAGTTCTAGTGAGTAGTGAGCATGGGATAAGCCGGAGTGCTGCAGCTATCCTAGCATACCTCATGTACCATTACAAGTGGACTCTACAGGTAAGCAAAATGAATGTTGGACCATACAGTATGCATCCAAGTTATGTTGATAGTAATATGTTTTTGCGTGGATGCACTAACATAAAGCAAATTTTTTTCAGTCAAATCATGAAAAATGTGAATTTTGATAAACTATTTATATAAAAATCAATGATTACGAATATAAAATATTCTGAAAATAGTATCAATTCTTCAGAGTTCATAAAAGATTTTGTGAAATGTCATGCAAGCAATATGATACAAATCATATAACAAGTTTTGGGGATAAAATGCGAAATTAATAGGATAAAAGTATATAAAGCAATTGATAAATAGTGAGGCAATGACATCACAAATTGATAACCAATAGGCAATTTGTGTGGTGATTTTTTGAGTTCCATAGTTTTTCATACTGTAAACAAAATCATAAGTTCCTTATCAGTTATCTGATTTTACTCAAACTTTTTTTGTTGTTGCTCTGTTTCTCTTATTTTTCTGCATCTATTAAAGGCAAATTATTTTTGGAGTGGACTTAGCCTTTGACCATTTTGATATAAGTTCATGCACAAGTAAACCATGTTAGAACTTAGACGTATGGAATGTAAATAGTATGTGTATCCTTAAGAACTGCATACCATGCTAATCAAATACATTTTATCCATCATGCATAATTCTTTGCCCATCATGGTTTATGTCATTTACTTGAGATCAACCAAGGCAGCTGCTACCCATTGTATGTGGTTATGTTTTCAGTGTATTTTACATAATCAGTGCAAAGTTAAGATACCAAACCCACCCTTATTTTTAAAATGACCATCTTGTTTCACTTTTGTTTGATCCAACAGAAAGCGTACAAACACCTGCAGAACTGCAAGAGCAATATCAGACCGCATCGGGACTTCGTTTCCCAGCTCTCCAAATGGGAGGAGGATATATTTGAAGAAGGCGTTCAGACAAATATATCAGACCCCTATTACTGAAGGCAATGACAATACTTTTTGTGTTTGTACTCAGGCGCCTAATTGGATACAATTTTGAAACTATGCAATATACCAAGAATAAAGAACAAAGCTTGATCATGTATTTTATATCTTTTGTGCTTGTATATCAAGTTTGAAGGAACGAGAACATAACCATTACTTCAGTACTTCTGTAAAACATTGTATGCAAAGAAAGGTTCTTTTGGATAAGCGGTTAAAAGCCTTCAAAATACACTACCGGTTATGCAAAAGAGGTGCTCCTTCAAACAAGCATGCAGGAGCCTTTACAAGTTATATACATGTCAACAATCGGTATGAATAGTTGTTGGCAGTGTGCAAATTTTCATTCTCTACAAATGCAATCAATAGCAAGTTTGCTGCACTTTTTTGTTCACATTACATACATGTTTTATTTTGTTCTGGGTGGGGGGGGGGGGAGGGGATTGGCTAGCCACATTGCAGCAAGCTTGTAACTAGTTATATGATTGGAAGTGAAGTCGTTTTGTCAGAAAACACTTTGAAAACCCTGCCAGCATGTTTTTCTTTCAGCAGAGTTTGCTGTACCATTTGTGCCAATTCTGTCTCTTTTTACTTCATTGTGCTTTTGAAACATTTGTACTCAGAGAGATCATGTTTAAATACATTATTTCACAAGTCCAATAGCGACATATTGTGATCATTGAGAAAACATACACATTCCACACAAATTTTAAGTACTAGTTGAGTGAAACTGATCAAAATGTATATGCAAATCATTTTGTTATCAATTGTTCACTTGTGTGTGATGAAGATCATAAATGAACAAATTATGGTATTTTTTATTCTTTTACAATCCACTGACTTTATTCATGTCAGAAATTGACGTAGATGATAGAAATGGACAAAGATCAGAAGCATATTTGTAGAGAGATTTCACGATAACTGTCAATCAGGATCAAAAAGTATTATTGTAAATAGACAAAGAACAACATACTGTGTGGATGAAATGATCAAAGAATTAATTTTCCATTTTGGAGTATTTATTTACATCTGTAATAAGGTGCGGAATATATTAGAGGAAATTAAATTACTGAGTAAGAATATAATTCATGGCGTAAATGTATGTGTCAATAATTATTCAGAATAATTAGTTACCAAGATTGTATATTACTTTAGTCGAAACTTGCCTATATCTAAGGTAGCTTTAATAGCGAAATGCACTACATTTTGCTGTAGTCTTTTTTTCTATATTCACTTTCACGTATTGCTGTTCCGCACTTTTGTACAATCAGAAATATAAGCAACTTCTTTGCAGCAGTGTGCTTGACATCTATGTTTCATTTAGAGTTAAATCCTTGCTACACTCAGCAAAAAAAATTAAGACACTATTTTAATGTTGATGATTAAAATTTTCAAATAAATATTAAATATATTTTATTGATGGTTTATATGAAAATTTCGAATATTAAAGAGAGTCCACTATCTTTTTTTGCCGAGTGTTTTAAGACTTGGTAAACAGATTCATGCATGTTAATATTTGTAGATAGACAATTTATAATGTAGGGGTCATAGTGAAATGAACTTTGAAGGTTAGATATATTGTCTATTTAAGAACAAAGCTCAAACTAGATGTACATGTTTTCTGTCTTCATTCTATGCAAATGATGACAATTTAATGTGCTGGTGTATTTTATACACAATTGGAGAAGAAAAAAGTTTGTCCATTCTTCTTAAGGTACTATGAATGAATCAACCACCAAATTATCTTTTTCTTGTGGAAAACAAGCACTATGCAATATATTTCTGTGTTTATATTGATTATTGTAAAACTTCTATTTATTGATTAGCAGTGATGAATAAATTCTATTTGTATTTGTCACAAATTTGAAAGTTTGACTGTTTCAGTTCATGATGATGGTTGTGTTTGTTTAACAAAGGAAGTTACATAAAGATCTAAGTTTTAGCATTGCTTATAAAACATGACTAAGATCAAACATCAGAATATAATCCATTGAAAATCAGGCAAATAGAAAATGATGTTGTAAATCATAAAACTTATATTCTTATAAACACAGAGCTCAATGAATACATGCAGGACCTTTGTTGCACGCAGTTGCCCTTCATTTTTTTTTTTACTGACGTATCTGAATGAGCTGTAAGGGTTCTCAAGATTGAAAATCTTCCCTACAGGCATTATTTAGATGCAAGCATAGCAGTAATTCCAAAAGACACATCGCACAGATGATTATCCCGAGGTTATGCTAGGTTTCCATAAACTTATTTCAGAGACTTAAGATTTGACTTTTGACTTTTTGAGGCCAATGTGCACTGGACTCGAGACTTGTGTTAACCCAAACTACGTATACATTGTATTTGAAAATGACAGGTTTACAAAATCTTTATTATCTCCTTTTTAGAGGTGGGCCATACTAAAATATACTATAGGCACATAAACATATATATCCCATCTAAATGCATTGTACTGACAGTTATATTACTTTTCAAAGAGAGTTGCATCCAAACATCAGTAAGAGAAATATTGAACCAATGAACCTTCAAGGTACAACTGTTCCTTCGTAGGTCAATGCAATGTCTAAGAGTTCTTGACCAATTGCTTCTTTGCTCCCTCCGGGCAAGAATTCTGTTGCAAGCTCACGGAGGGTCACAGCGATGCGTCGAGATGTAATGGCTTCTCGTGGGATTGCGTGCTTCCACTTGTACCTAGCATCGTCACTCAGTATTATCAAGCTTCTCCTTGGCATTGGTATTAACAGTTCATGGACCAACCACTCTTCTTGCTGACCTCTGACATCATGATTGTCTTGACGATAGTAGGAGTTTGTTCCAGAATCACTGGGTGCTCCATGACTAGTAGCATCAGTTTCATATTTCAGGAATAAGAAAGTGTCTGAGAGTAGATTGATGGTGACGAGTCGGTTCCCCCAAAGCCAGAAGTCATCAAAATGAAGGTCTATGGCTGATCCTCTGTCGGGCGTGTACTCTAGATGGCACTGTTCAACAGGGAGGAAGTCTTGAAGCGTTGGGAGGCGTGTCATACGGGACACAAGTGGTTTGCTGAAGGCAGGTAGACCGGTGAAGCCACCTTGCTTGACTTTTCTACGCTTGAAGTTGGGTTTAGGGCCGTAGTCCTGTAGATGATATACATGGGAAATACAAGAAAGTGACATTGATTCAATAAAAATTTGTAGGGGGGAGGGAGAGAAAAATCTTATTTCATTGAACAAGAGATTTGTTAATCCCGTCATCCGTTACAATAAAAAATTATGTATATTTTTCAAACTACCCCAATGAACCATGAGCCCAAATAAACTCAAAAACAGTTTCCAAATGTTCTACTTATAATCTCTAAAAATCACAACAAATACATGCACTTTAAAGGTACTATGTCCCATTTGCAGGCCAAAAGAATGAAAAAGTTAAATTCCAACTGCATTTGAAAGATAATACTAATTTAGAACTTCCCTAAAAAAGGTGGGGCTTGAAAATGTCTTCACGTGGGAAAATAACGACTATCAGTTGTCAAATCGACTTTAGGGCTATAGAGCCTAAAAGTAACAGTCTTGATTTTCAGACAATTGTACCGAATGGTCATACGTTTTATGCTGCGCAAAGATTCAATCAGTTTAATCTTGGCCATCACAAGAAGTGGGTTATTGATGTAGATAAATGCTCATGTACCCTTTACAACTCTTTTCATTTATGTTATTACCAAAGAAGAAAAAAGCCAGTCAGTCACTCAATAGTGTCTGACAGTGAAGTCTAGCAAGTAAACGGGTTCCTTGCATAATTTGAATATGAGGAACACTGTTAACGTTTAAATTTCACAGATAGGACATACATGACATATTCATAATTCCTGCAAAGTTCTACAGAATTTGAGGTTGGCTGCAAAAGGGACATAGTAACCTTTAAGCTTAGAAGCCGGAATATTTATCATATTTGAGAATATGTGTACACAATTCACGCATTAGGTTTCTCCTTTCATTGTCCGTTCATGATACACTGACCTCAAACATGACAATGAAACAGGTCTGTATCTTCAAATAAATTCTCTAGAAAACAAGACTTGAAATTTAAAGTTAAAAAATAAATTAAATAACAAATAGGTAGTGATCATCTGACTGGAGCTTACCTGTTTGAATCTTCCTGACTGGGAGGATTTCCATGGACTCTCTTCAATCATGTGCACCATCTCCATTTCCTCTTCATCTGTGATAAACTCTGGTATCACCTGTATACCAGGCAACCTAAAGCCCTGAGTAGCGTGGTGATCAGGGCACACTGTGTCTGGTGTTGGCTGTTTTGTGCTGCTCTGTCCCATCTCTATGTGAGGAGGAGGCTGGATATTTCCACACAAGTAGCAGTATCTCCAGAGTGCCTACATAATAGAAATAAAAAACAAAGTGCCTGAAACTGATTTCATCCACTGGCAGTTTAAATTAAGGGGGGAGGAAGAAAACTTGCTTGTGCCCGTCTTTAAACCCAGTCTGGAATTTCTTAAGGATAGAGTTTTATTGACTTATTTTATTTTCTGTTTTGCTTTGTCACTCTTTTAAGAATTGTGCCTGTTATTTTACAGAACCCTACCCCCCCCCCCCTAATTTCAAAGATTTTACTACCCTGTGCTCACGAATGAAAATAATTATGAAGAATGTGCTCAGTATTTGTGCACACATTTTAATCAGAAATTAGAAGTAAGAATCAAAATAGATCTTTCCTTGTTTAGGAACAAAAATTGAGGGGCGAGGGGTGTATCAGATGATTCAGATCAATTGTCCTACAATGTCCAATGCTCACTATGTGATGCTGGTGTGACAATGTTTGTCATCTTAGCTGGAGGAAACAATTTTTTCAATGAAAAAGTATAAAATGTTGTTTACCTGTAAATATTCACTGCCCGTTGATGCATTCTTCACATGGATATCTTTGCCTTCACAGACGAGGCATGATCGGATTCCTGTACATCCGCATGGTCTTGGATAATGAAGATCTGCCATTTCAGTGAGTTACCTACGCTGAATAATAGACAGTTTGACATCAATTAATTAATCAGTCAATCATGATCATCTGATCATTGAATCAATCAACGACAACGACACTCAACAGTGATCATTCAATGATTCTTTCATCAAACCAGACATGCTGGATGATGATGTCAGTCCAAAATCTCCGGACTAATTGAAAGCACCTAAATGATTATACTGTTCAATATTTAGGGATCCAAAAGGAAAGAATATTGTCATTAGAAAATCCCCTTCTGTCTTTTATTATATTGCGTATAATATATATGGTGGTGTGATCAAAGTTCGCTTTCTCAAAAAATCGGTAAGATTTCAAAAATCTGATATCACCAATGAAAAGAGGATCATACAATTACCCAGAAACAAAATTTTCTTTGGAATTGGGTGTGAAATTGTGAAAATATTGACAAAAGATCAGCAAATTTTGCAGTCTTTTGCGTCCGTTCCGAAAATTATCAAATTGCCGATAAGGGTCTGGAAATCATCATTTTGAGACCAGATATCCTCAAATTTGTAAGTAGGTCTAATAAGAAGTGGTACCGACTAATTGTATGATATCTTGCCTTGTAAATTATTAATTTATCTTATTTTTGATGGATCACATTTTTGTATAAATCAGCTGTAAACCCCCATGCGTGAAGTTAGGTCTCGTTGTTTTAAGACTTTTTTTGATGAAGCGCGCATGCACGATCAGACATCAAATTTTTAGATTGCGACTATCTCTGAAATCCTTCGACGGTAAATTTTCTAGTTCACGACAGTAGTTGAACCAATTTTTAGTAAAAAACTATGCCGTCCATTTGGTAATAATTTAAATAAATAAATTTGTGTAGAATATGAGAAATCATAGATCGAATAGCACAGTTTGTAATATGTTCTAAAATGTCGGCGAACTTTGGTCACCCCTGGCCCTTCATACGCATCTAGATCTACGTACATAGTACATTTATTGATCTTGACACAAAATGCTATAAGTGGGGCACCTATGAAATATAATTGGCATAAAATGACATAAGAACGCATCTCAAATTAACTATAATCGTTTAAACTATAAATTCAAATTACCTTTTTCGTTAAGAATTACTTCAAGGTATTTTAGAGAAAACCCCTACCAGATAGGACCGAAATCGTGTAGCACATTTGGCACAGTCGAGGTAGAGAAAAATGTTGAACATAGACACCAATTTCTTGATGAATGATATATGCCTAGCCTGAATCTAGCTACCAAACTTTTGTACCCCTATATTCGACGTGAGAAAATAGCACACCATCAACGCTAAACCGGAGATGGTCATTGCCTTTCATTCTCACCCTCGCAAATATTTGTTGGGGTCGCACGAACTGTGTGGGATGCATGTAAGCGAGGAGGCCATATTATAGACAGTGGCGTAATGAGCAAAAACTTTTGTTTAGGGGGGGGGGGGGGAGAGAGAAAAATCTGTATCACCATCAGGTGGCATAGGCCTAATGGGCTATACAGACGCCAGAGGCGGATCGAGCCGGCGGAAGGGGAGGGGGCGGCGAAACAGCCGGCCGATAATTCGCCTACTGGGGAGGGGGGGGGGGGGGGGGGGGGGGCACTAATTTATTTATTTTGTTGCTCCTGAAAATTTGAAAATCGTGCCGGCCGATAATTCGCTCAGCCCCCCCCCCCCCCCCCCCCCCCCCCCCCCCCCCCCCCTTGATCCACCACTGGTGTCCAACAATATTTCACAAAATAACTAAGATTTCTATTGTGCAAAATGTATGACTCCGGAGAGTCTTTGCATTTTAGAGTACCTAGATAATATGCTTTCCATAATACTCTCATTATCTTAGCCTGCTTATTCACTCTTCAATGGACTTGAATTTCTCTGTGCATTAATTATACTATAATTACTTTTACCTCATTTATCTCAAATCTTTTTTTTTTGAAGAGCACCTAAAAAGATTGTAAAACAAAGGTGTTTTTACTTTTTAGTATTATTATAATCATGAAGTTTTTATCGTTATGCACATAATCAAGAAGCTAAGGTTACCTGTTTACGATCCAATTCCATATGGTGTTTTAATTATATATTATGATAATCAGAAAGGTTTGATTGTCATGCACATAATCAAGAACCCAACCTAACCTGTTTACAATTCTACTATTCCAAACGGTGTTTTTATTGTAGCTTGTTTTATATGCTAAGGATTATAATCAATCCATCGGAGTGAAAACATGATTGAAATTAGTACATTCAATCCATGATTGTGCAAATCGATATCTGGGGCAGGCAACGTTCGGTCAGATTTTAGCTTAATATTCAAACAACGTTTTGCGTATTTTTTTAAAGTTTTGTTAACAAAATAAGCTATAGACGCCCTGTATATATTTAAAATGTTGGTTTATTTGCTGAGAGAATATAAACAACATTTTACTGAGACATGTTGAATAAAAATGGTCTAATGGAAAAAGGAATAGATTAAACTTTTCTGATCATTATTGAATACAGGGAGGGCAAGTCCACTCTAATATTAAGTTAGCTTCATTAGAAGCAGACAATGGGTTTTCTGTTGTACGCAGAAAATCTACATTTTGTATTCTTTCATCAATATTCGACTTTAAATGCATTTGTTTTGAAAACCGTTGTAGAAATATGTCTTTAATTAGATCCTCTTCACATTATGATAAAATTTGAGTCAAACTTTTGGGGCGCCCAACGCTTAAGAGGCTCTACAGTCAGACGCATACAAAAATTAAATTTACACACTGACCCCCATTTCACGAGGCTTGTTTAAAGTTGATAAATGATTCAGTTAGTTGTTGACAAGTAGGTCAGGTTCTGAATTAATAAAATGATGTGCACTGGAGCCTTATCATGAACTCTGAACAAACTGATATAAAAATATATGATTACATTTACTCATCATGTATTCAGATGCACATACAATATAATGCAAGAATAAAAGTACAAAACATTTTTTTTTTAAATGTAGTAAATAATAATTTTGAGTTTAATTAGACTGTTTACTATCAAACTGCAGATTTTTGGGTCCAGTATGATGAATATATACTAAAATATAATTGTTATTTGTTTAGGGATATGAATTCGATCACGAGACATCGGACAGGTTGCACATTCCATTTGGTAATTGATCATATAATTTAGACTCTCGAATACAACAACAATTATTGATGGATCATATACATACAATTTAATTTCATCACTAGTTTTCAAACGAGAGTACACTCGGCGTGTGTCCTCGACGATTTGTTTGATATCAAGCGATTTTATCATTTTCTGTTACGATACAATTTTTTCAGATAATATATTCCCAATTCTTTTTGATACGTTAAAGTATGATTCGAAATCGTAAATAGTTACATACAGTTCGTACTAGGTGTACCCAATATTATTTTTTTTTTAAATGTATTTTGATGACGAATCATCGCCGAAAACTGACGACTTATGGATTGTTTCGCTGTCTGTTCCCCCACTTTCTGAATTTTCTTTCTCCCTCTCTCTCTCTCTCTCTCTCTCCTTCTGTAAGACATCCGTTCAGTGTTTGACATCCGATTAATGTTATATCAGTCGTTGATATATATATATATATATATATATATATATATATCTCCAGCTGTACATTAATGTTGTTGCCATGTTCACCCCTCCCCCACTCTCCGTCGTTATCTGCCCTCCACACACTTCCATAAGCTATACCTGAGTCTATATAAGCCATGCAGTCACCAACTTAATAACATAAAGAAAAAATTCAAGCAGTTGACCATCTCTTCCTACACCTTGTAGAGGCGTGAAATCAGCTTCTGATAATTAAGGATGAAGAACCTTTCTCACAGCAGACATCTCGATATACACGAGCAGCAGAATGTCTGGAGAAAGATATCCCCAACAGCCTGTACAAAGTGGTGCTGGACGTAGGTGGTTAACTATGGTCAGTTTGATGTCTGGAATTGCTTTCGTGTGCGAGTTGCTCCTGCAGAGCTCGAACTTTTGGCATCACATCCTTTAGCGACTGTGGACGAAGCATGGGTGCCTTCTGAGAGCAAGACTCCCCAATGGCGACCAGGTCTTGAAGTCGAGCGGCTCGGCCGATGAACACCAGCAGGACTCCTACAGAATAGATGTCACTGGCCTTGGACAAGGTTGTTCCGTCATCGACGACCTCGGGTGCGACGTAGACGTTTCCGCTGAGCTTCTTATGGTCTTCCATGACCGATTGCTTGATGGTTACATGTGGTGGAAACGCGATGGTGCTGACGAGACCTAGGTCTATGATACACCCGTACCATCTCTCGTTACGAAGCTCCAGGAGAACGTTATCAGCCTTGATGTCGTTGTGAAGCAAGCCGTTGGAGTGCATGAAGTGTATGCCTTCCAGGACATCATCAGCGATATCTAGCAAGCTGGGAGGAGACAGGAACGGGCTGGGGTTGCTCTCCATGATGTTGAGCAAAGGGAAGACCTTCCCTGTCTTCTTGTCTCCGATGAATTCTTGAACAATGCACATGTTCTCATCAAGCACCAGAGTACCGTAGAGTTTGGGAAAGTGGTTGCTCCTGGAAAGGAACTGTGAGACCACAGCTTCCTTCGTGAACTGACCGAAGTTGGCCCTTCTCTCAGCCTCAATCTTAGGTGGAGAGAAGTATGGTGGGATGAGAGGCTCCTTGATGGCAACGGTGTCCGAGCTGGCTGTAAGTCGAGCAAGCAGCACACGTCCAAAGGCTCCCCGCCCAATCTCCTTGAACTTGAAGTCGTTATCAAGAATGGATGTGGCATGGAAAGTGATGACATCATGCATGCTGAGCTCGGTACATGGGTTAGATCCAAGTGTGGCGATTACGGCTACATCCGCGATGGTCCTGACATCAAGAATTGGACCTTGCGTCTTGCCAAGATGCGCTCCTAAGCTATAAAAATAACAAACCATTGGGAGCATAACTAAAAGAATACTTTAACAAATTGACTGCTGAATTATTTCATTTTCTAATTGGCACTTATACGGGAGCAAACCGATCACCGTAGGCAATGGATTATGTTACTTTTTTGTTTTATTAGAAACAATCTCTTGTGGTGACTAATTACCCACCTGAAAATATCATCTCTCCATCTTCTTTAACTTAAATAAATATATTGATCTTTCATTACATCGAAGACTTTTTTTGCGGGGATCTACTTCTATTTAAAGGAGATTACGAGAGCAATGTGTAATTAGAGTTTATTGCTTCAAGCCTATTTGTTACACTAAGAAAATAAAGTTTTGATTTAGGAAATATCATTGTCTTCATCAGGAACATCGATTGTTTATAATGATGTGTAAATTCATTCATTTATTCATTGATTTATCTATTTGATTATTGATTTATTGATATACTTTTTTTATTTATTCATTCATTCGTTCGTTCATATATTAAGTAATATAGGGTACTTTCCTTTCAGAAGTAACTTACTTTTCGATTAGATCCCGTAGTCCCTGGTTCTTTTCCTGCAGCCTTTGACAATCGTATTCTAAACCCCTGACTTTCGTCAGAGTACACTGAAAATCTTCAGTACGATCAACTTCCTTTGGGGATGTTCCTCCTGCGTTCGAGAGATTCTTGAGTTGGTTCGTAAGGTTAGATTTCTCATCGAGTTCTTTAGTCTGTTCGGATTTCCCTGATCTCTCACCCTGCAGCGAAAAAAAGACGATTATTTTCGTGAACAGAATTTGTCTTTATTCTTTCCAAACGTTTTCCCCATTATGACATATAATTCCCTATGCACTTTAGGGCTATACGTTTTAACCTGACAATCCTCTTCAGCGGTCAGATTCGGGATCGATACGATTTAATATATATAATAAGGAAAAGTCTAAAAAGCTTAAGGCCAAATAAAAAAACAAACATGTTTAGCGTCCTGTTTTTTCGAAAAATAGGAAGGAGGAGGCCCTTTTTTTTTTCTTTCAAAATGGCCGCTCGGTACATTTTCCCTGACATTCGGGCTATTTTTCAAGTTGGCGGCCGACATTTTTTTTTTGTCTTTTCATGTTTTTTTTCTTTAAAAAAAAAAAAATAAATAAAAAAAAAAAAATTTAAATTTAAAAAAATTAAAAAAATTTAAAAAAAATAAAATTAAAACAAAATAGGAGGCGGCCCCCAAAAAGGAGGCGGGCGGGGACGCTAAACTTGTATATTTTTTTACATGGCCTAAAGTCGCACAATACACCATAGTTGTTTGCTAAAAATGTGCCGTGCCTTCTTTTGCTATGATTATATCTTGGCGTAATATGCAAGACGGGGAGTAAGTCTTTTCGCCTTTATTCAACCATTTTAATCGTATTGAAATATATCATAATTTGCGTTTGTCTCATGAAGCATCTTGCTGCTTGGGTCGTTTCGGGGCTTGTTGAAAAAAAATCATAACACTCTTGCGTCATGTTATACAATAAGGAGATAATGCTTGGAACAGTTCAGAACATACCTTTGACAGAATTAATTATAAGCATGATAAGCAACTACGGTCGAAATAGTCTTAGCTGGTGTTATTGCAGTTTTAACTCTGGAATGTGTTTGGGGAATGTCTGATAAGTTCCAGAGAGGTAGAAGCACAATTCAAAATATCGCTTTTAATATTCCTACCTGATTTGGAACAACTTTGCTCTTCTTTCTCCTCGGAAACCACCGTCGTTTGATAATATTGGGCCAACAATTGGTCTGAGATTCTTGGACATGAAGGAGCTCTGCTTCCACAGTCTGTAGGAATTCGAATAGATGTATATGAATGAGTGAATAAATGAATGAAAGTGATTGGATGAGAAATATGTGAAGGTCAATTCCTTGCGAAGTAATCATATGTCCATTTATTCCCAACTATCACATTCTTATAGTATATTGTAAAGGTCCAGTATTTATATGACACCATCGCAAAGACTTTCGGGAAATTAACTCAAGGGAATATATCCTTTATTTTATCCAGTAGAAATCATGTTTAGATGACGTAATAATTGTAATATAGACAAGGCTATTCAAATTGCTGTAGATTGATTTTGCGAAAGTCATTGCAATCAAGCTATAGGCACCAAGCTTTTAATTACAGGGGCAAAGCAGTGCCTCTTGTTGGTGTGGAATGATCTCCATCAAAATATTATATTTCCATTGATTCCTTCACCTTAATTTTTATATTCAACTCACCTGAATGTAGGTCCGCGCAGCAGTCAGGTCAGAGGTCAATTGGATGACCTTTTCTTTCCAAGAAGACTCGACCTTTTCACACCGAGAGCCCATCTCCTTCCATGTTGATCTGATGTGCTGGAGCGCATTCTCTGGAAGAGCTATCTCATCTTGAGGATCCATCTCATTCGCCAAGTTTATGAACTCCTGAGAGAAACACATATTAAATACGTATAGATTCGTATTCCGAAAAACAATACTGATGAAGATGGATAAGAACGGCATAACAAAAAATGGCTTCTTATCATAAAACTTTGACAAAAGATCAAAACTGTAATCCTCTTACATTCAGTGGCCATGGCCTTCAAACGGAGGGGCTGGGGGGGGGGGGGGTGATGGGGGCGTTTTCGCCGGCTGCCTTAATTCTGACTATGCCACAGTAAATTTGCGTTTATCCATTATGTTTAAAATGCTCTCTTTGCCAAACTCTTTTGTAGTCCAGAGTGGACGCAATATTACATAATGCTTGTAGACAGTGGTTGCATGATATTACAACTCAAATTATGTTAGCATGAATAATTTTAATGTTCAACAATAAGGGATAGAGCAACATCGATCTGGCGCTGCTCAGTGGCTGCCGGGCTCACGATCAATTGGGCAAAAAGAATTTCCGTTCCGGTTTAATAAAATTTGGATTGGACTATTAAGCTATTATTATTATTATTATTATTATTATTATTATTATTAATATGTTGTATGATAGATGAATCAATTCAAAGAAATTTTGCGTTTAGCATATATATAGGGCACTGGTTCCATGCTCATTGCAGTTACAAGATGTACCGTAACAAAATAGTATTACTAACTATATACTTACGACCCCTCACATTCCTCACCTTTGTAGCTAGGAAAAAGACGTCCACATAAAGTGTCGATAAATAGTCTCTGGTCGGCCTTATTGTTGGTTGGACGGCTCCTAGCTAGCATTTTAAATTTTATGTTTAATTGTTTACTTATTGCGATCGTAGTAACTATGATTGTGATGTCACAAAAGGGCGATGAAACTTTCAGCCAATCACGACGCTTAAACAAGTAGCTGCGCAATCATGTCTTTTGAGCTGATTGTGATGTCATAATGAAAGTGCGAGAAATCCTTTCAGCCAATCACAACGCATTGGTGTGTGTACGGTTTCATTGATTGTGATGTCATAATAGGAGAGAAATAACTGTGAGCCAATCAAGATGCGTAAAATGCAACCTTGCAGCCTTGCTCCTGCACGCGCTCAGACGTAAAAGTGCAATAAACTTTTAGCCATTCTAAAGCAAGAAATACAAAATCAATTTCTATTTCTTATTTGTATTTTCCTTATTTATCTATTTCTATAATTTCTATTTCTATTACTAATTCAATTTCTGTTTATATTTCTATTTTTATTCTAATGGAAGACCGTTTTGGTATCTCGCTATGTGATTTGAAATGTGGCGTATAAAGGTGTTCACGGGGTGAACATCCACTAAAAATAATTTCAACTTCATTATTTTGTCTGCTGCGGTCTCGTTCTCAGAAAAAATATTAGCGATATTCTTCATGCGCGCGATATCGTGCATGCATATCAATGCATATGGTGCACGTCGCGCACGCGCGTTGTACTTACGTACTGGCGTAACAAATCTCAGAATAATTGGTGTCCAGACATCGCACTAACGTCTAGAGGGGGTGTCATGTGCATTTTAAATTGATGCACGGTTTTTTTTTTGGAGGCATAGTTTAAAGGTTTGTGTAGATTAAGGAAGGTTATCACCTGCCAGTAAAAAGCATCGTTATTTCTACCATTTAATGCCTAAATAAGTTGCAAAATGTCTGTTAAAATATTCTACGACGTACTGTCGCAGCCTGCGAGGTCGGTGTTGATGTTTGTGAGAGCAAACAAGATCCCATACACTCCATGTCCAATAGCCATACGAAAAAGTAAGTGCACGTTTTTTTGCTTTTGTAACTATTCTAACAAAGTATGGTCGAAGTTAGAGTTCTGGATATTTCGTGATACGGGGGAAAGGATCAAACTTACAAATCAAAATAAATTGTTTGGATTTTGCGGTAGCAATAATAATGCACTCAACTGTGTTCTGATGGTTGTAAGACAAGAGATATTTTCAGCTAAATTACGAAATCAACTACCATCATTTGATATAATTTTATCAGCTGTAAAACGTTATTATGAAATGGAAAAATATATATACCAAACAAATCTCAGAGAGAATAAATTGAAAAAGAAATGGTTTCACTTTAGAAAATATTTTGAGAGTGTTTGAAATGTGCTAACATAAACATGATCATGTATTTTATGTTTGGTATTTTTTTATTATATATTTAAAGTACTAATTTTGTCATAAAAGTTATTATGGTTATTATCTGTGTCAAGCCATTATGTATGGAAATTATTTCTTTAAGTATTAGTATATGATATATGGATATGCTGTATATGATGGAATTTGTTTTGAAAATAAAGAACCCTGTGGAAGGGGGGGGGGGAAGAAGTGCACGTACTAATTCTATCTATTTCTCTGCCAGAGTTCGGGGGGGGGGGGTGTGTATCGAGGGGTTCTGCTGAATGTCGATTGAAAGACATGGGCCTGCCCTCGGGCCCATCGGGCCATGGCACACATAGCTGCATTACTATCCTGGCCAGTGGCGTACGCAGGATTTTTTCAAGAGGGGGAGGGGGGGGGGGTTAAAATCGGGCCCAAAATTTCGCAACGACTCAGCTTTATTATTTTGCTCCCGAAAATTTTTATATTCAATTTTTCTCGAAAGCAGAAGTGTTTTAGGGTCTAAATTTTCTAGTTTTTATACGACATCCACAGGGACATCCAAATATATCAAAATTGTAAAGAATCACTGTACACTCAATTTTCAAAATTGTCCAAAACTTTGTATTATTATTTACCTTTAATGTTAAGTGGAAAACACTCCATCCCTCGGATAGGACGTTACATGGAGACCCCGTGTAGAGAAGAGTCACTACCTTTGCACGTTAACAACCTACTGCACTATTTGTATAAGAGTAGGGGGAAACCCCGGTGTAGTGGTCCACCTGTAATACTCTGTAATACTCTGTAAAGAGGTCTGTATTCAAAAAGGAAAGAATTTCCATCTCTTTATTCTGTTATCTTTTGTTCATTGCCATGCCCTGCTTTGTAACCTTTGACCTTTTAGGTGAGCACCAATCCAAGGAGTATGCAGCCGTCAGTCCAATGATGAAGATTCCGGCTATGCAAGACGGAGAGTTCAAACTCACAGAGAGGTATGGATCAACAACACTGCCAGGTGCCGGAGACACATGTGCACCCAAAATTTTAGTCCCCCAAATTTGATGGGGGCCAACACATACAGTCCTTAAAAATTTCAATGTGGACACCCTCACAAAACAGGACACGTGGGAACCTCATATCTCATATTTAAAACATTCATAACTTTCTCATTATCGATCTGCTTCATTTTAAACTTTTGCCATTCTGTAAATCTCGTTATTACTAGGGTTAGATTGCTCTTTAAAGCAGCTCTTTAAAATGAAATTCACACAAGGGCCTAAGCCATTGTTTTACATGTTTCAGCATTGTTTGTGTTAGGTAAGAATTCATATGAGTACTACAAAATGAAATACTATGACATGTTTGTTTTTTCTTGATAGTCCAATAGCCAATCTTTGATTATTTATGGTTTAGATAATGTGATTGGATTATTCAGATGGTTTTTATTTTGATCATGGTGCAAAAAAAAAAAACCTGTCTGAAATTACTACTGTGTAAGGTACTGAGGCTGCTTGGGATAAACCGAAATCCTGTTAGACTAAAAGCTACAAATTGTGATCAATTTTCTGCAGTTTTGTGCAGTTTTTGTATATTATTTTTAATGAATTGATCAGCACTCCAAAGATTTTATTTGATGCCAAAATCTCTGATTGATGCAATTCGAAATAATTTTTTCCTGCTCTGAATATTACAGGTTCACAGAATGGAAAAAAATTGTTATAAACGGAATTCAGAACCATTTTGTGCGTTATCTGAACAATGCAGTATTGCAATAGTGTAAAAATTTGTAATCGATGTAATTTCCAACAATTTATTCATTCTTTGATCAATGCATTAGCGCAAAAGTGAACAATTCTTTTATTTCTGTGAACAATGGACTATCACAGTTAAACAATAGTTAAATATACCATACTATTACGATTTCTGCCGGACGCCAAGAAGGACGCTCTCTGGGACTGCCATATTGGGCAAATCCAAAATGACCGCCATCTGAGTTAAAGGTCATGTGTAGTTCCAAAAGGAGGCGTGTCGCACCCCACACCCCCCCCCCCCCCCCCCCCCTTTGGAGACGCCCCTGCCCATCTAGGGCCTACGTCGATGAGTATCTCGCCTGGCAACACATGAACACCAGAATCACTGTTGCAAAGGTCTTTTGGAAAGAGGTTAGTCCAAGTTCTGTACAGATAAGCGCACATTTTCCAAGGATTGTTCGAAGAACCCTATAGACAAGTGCTTTAGAGACAATTGCTTTGTGTTCAAACTTCCATCAGTTAATAAACACCTTGATATGAAAGTGTGGGGTCACCCATAATACTCTTGACCACAAAGTTGAAATGCAATATACCATGCATATTCCATTCATCTTTCTGCTTATATCCACTTATCTTCCTTCATATTCCCGGCTCGCAAAGTGCAACCATCACAAAGTATCTTCATGAAAAGTTTGACTGTGCGGATCACTGGTTTCCCAAGAGCCTTCAGCAGAGGTCAAGGATCAATGAATATTTGGATTGGCAGCATTTCAATATGAGAGCTCGTGTATATAATGTATTTTGCGCAGAAGTGAGTCAAATATCAAATTGCGTGCAATTTCAGTGAATTGTAACAGATTGTTTTGTATTGCATTCAATTTGAATAAACATCAATGCTCATACAGCCATAAACACATTGGATCATGTATTTTATGGAAATCATAGAAATTATATCATTGATTGGGGGATGGGTTTTGGGGGGTACTTATGAATGCCAGATTGGGCTTAAAATGTGGGGGAGGGGCATGGGCAGACTGTGCCCCCCCCCCCCCACCACCCCCCCCTTCGATCAACTACTGAGGTAAAGTATCAGTAGTATCAAAGACCAGAGGGTCAGAATCAAGTACTGCACTGAAAAGTACTACCAACTCATATTTACCCAGTTCCTAAATCTAATATTGTACAAGATAGATAACATGCAAACCCCTACAAATAGGGTTTACATTACAATTCACATCGAGGGCTTGGTCTAATTAACTAAGTATATACAATGATCAATGATTTGTACATCTAACTTTTTGTTTGTCATGTTTCCACCTCATTCTGAATCTCTGTTTTACTCCGGGTTTACTCTGTCTGGCTCTGTCTCTCTCTCTCTCTCTCTCTTGGTCTCTTTCTCCCTAATTTATCATGTTTATGTGTATAAAACATTAAACAAGTCTTGTTTTTCATTCTCTTTCTCGTATCCCCCCCTCTCTCTCTCTCTCTCCCTCTCTCTTTCTCTCTCTCTCTCTCTCTCTATCGCACTTTCCCTCTCTCACTCTTAATATTCTCCCTCCTCTCTCACCCTATGTCTCTATTTTCCCTCTCTCCCACACCCTGTTCCTCTCCCTGCCCCCCTCTCTCTCCCTCGCTCTGTACTAGTATGGCTAGGAGGTATTAGACCACCCAGGGAGGTCACTGACAGGTGGCTATCTCATCAACTCAGCTCTCAATTAACATAAGAAAAAGAGGATCATGAGGGACCAACCGACACTGATTAGGCATTGTTTTCTACATAGAGGGAGCAAGTAGCTGCAAGTAGTACAGTGGGGCTTTAAGTTAAATAACACCCTACCGGTCTCCTCCTTTTCACAGGTGATCTTCCCCCGGATGACGGGCACCCCACCAGACCCTGTGGCCCTTGCACCAGACATCCAGAGAATGGAAGAAACCTTAGACAACTTAGAAAAGCACTTCCTCCAGGAAAAACCTTTCCTGTGTGGGTATGATATCAGCATCGCAGACCTGTTTGGCGTCAACGAGGTACCTTGATGATTTACATGGACCAGTTTTGGAAACGCCCCCCTCTCAAAAAATGAAATGGAAGCTCTTATTACCAGTCATGTGAAAGAATATGTTTTGACTAATACGTCATACGTGACGATACAAATTTTGACGGGAAACCGCCTACTTATTGATAGATTTGGTAAATTATTATATATATCCGGACTGAATAGATATAGGGTAGTACCATATACATCTTTCTGTGTACAGTGCTTATCACTTTACCAAGACTGGGCCAAATTTCTTATCATTTTGATGATTCCGGAACCTTGCAGTATACACCAATACTTATATGCTAGATGATCAACCTTACCGATCGATTCCACAACGTTTCTTTCACAATGCAATCGCATGACCAGAACTGGTCTATACCTTCAACAACTAAATTATTCATACCTTTACCTTGTTTTGTAAGTTTTAAAGTACCGGTATGTGATAAATAACTTGTCCCAATTTATGTTTCTTAAGAATGTGACATGAAAGCTTACACTCAAAAGTATTCAGCCAGTCCAGCTTTCTTTCTTGAGTAACAAGAAGAAGAAAAAATACATCAAAATTGCAAGCGGTATAAATAATTTGGTTGTCAAATGTATAAAGATTATTGAGGTATATACATGTACAATGTATATTTAAGTTATTCTGCGTCTTATTACGATAATTATTAGAAACAAGAAGGTCATTCTGTATTTCTTGTAGCTTTGCAGAATTATATGGCACATAAAAAAGTGACTAGAACACAAACTGCATAATTCATCTTCTCAGAACCAGAAAAGCATCTTCTAACACAGTGCTAATACATGTACCTTTACGGCTCCCAACAGATTTTCCAGTGCATCTATAAGTAATCTGATTCATCTGAATTACATTAAAAGAAAAATTGGGCATAATGGAGGCAGTTGGGGTATGCGAAACCTTTAGATTATAATATCATGGTTCTTCCTCCGTGTAATTAAATTGTGATTTTAAACAATTATGTGTTATATCTTGAATAAATTTGATGATTTCTTTGTTTTAATGTAAATAGGCTTAATCCCGACATATGAAAACATAGAGTTTGGGATGTGAAATTACATTGCTGAAAAGGTTGAATATTGATGTTCAATTCCGTTGAAGGTGGAACAAAATTAGTTACCAGATTGCTGATTCTGTTATGTCAGTTTGACAGAATAGAGCAAAAGAAATGTCCGGTGAAAAGGATTGCATTTCAAATGCCCTCATATTCAAAATATATATAAAGAAATAGCTGAACTGTTTGGACCAAACCTTCTTGCCACTGATTGCCAAATGTGTTTGTAGTCCTATATGCAAATTCCTGTGTGTACTGCATGCGGCTTTAAGCAATTGCGTCAATAATTAGTTATCATTTTGATAATCACAAATCTCAATATACTCTATAATGAACCTTTTTCAATTGCATCCAGAAAGTTTCTTTCATGGTGTAATTGCATGACCAGTACTCGACTTTAACTTAAAATATTTAATCTTTTTCACAAACCAACAGGTTATACAGGTGGAACCCTGCGGCTATGGCACGCTAGACAGAAGACCAAAGCTGAAGGCGTGGATAGGGAGAGTGAGAGAGTACGTACAACCAGAGATCTTTGACGATGTCTCGCAACTCATCTACAGACTCGCCAAAGCAAAACAAAAGCTGTAATTTGTTATAAAAAGTAGATGGTACAAGTGCATGTGTTTCATAGGTTACTTTTCATATGAATGACAGAAGTGGACAATTTTATGAAGGGGAAAATTATTATTATTGTTATTGAGCTGCTTATTGATTTTTGTTGGAAGGACAAAAGTGGCCAGATTTATTCAATTAAAAATCGATTTCATTGCCATCTGGTGGGTGATATGCCTATTGATTTTATTTTAAATGATGGTAGACCTGTATTCTTGTCATTAAATAGTTTTGGTTTCCATTTTGTGGGCTGGATTTTCTCACATACATGCAGTTTGCTTCTGCTGACAGTATTAGCTTGTAATTTCCAAACTTTGTGGTCCTTTATATTTCATATTTCATTTGACAAATAGATAACAATGGCCAGAATACTATGTTTCTTTTTTCTCATTGAAAGTTTTGAGGTTGAAATCTTATGATGCTGTGATTTGAGAGAGGTTTTGACTGATATTCAATTTACTGATTTCTAAGATGTAGAGAGTAAGCATAAAAAGTGTGCTCTAATTATCTATAAAACAAATTTGTATATCTACAAATTTCATATTTGTAAGAGATATTTTCTTTGGTGTATTCTTTTTTTTGTTGGGGTCTTGCTGTCATATTGACATGGAAGAATATTTGTATGATCTATAAAAGGCTTCAGTCCATCTATATAATTATGAGATTGGTCTCATGGTAATGGTCCATCTTCATGTACTTGTATGTATGGTACTGGTTATTATGAAATGGTACATCTATTTATGACATTGGTTCATGCTATAATTGTGGATGTTTGTATTAGCTAGACGTCATCATCAAATATTAAAATGTAAGGGGCAACACTGATGGAAAAGAGATGTATTCAACAGTTATATTCGCTCAAGAAATTCAGGTGTCCATTTGGATTTAGTGTGCTGTATAACCACTTCATTACAATGTATGTATGAGTTGCATATTATCACGAATTTATCAACACGCAATTTTTTTTTAGCACCTCAGCATTCCAGAACGCAATGAGCGACTTTTCGGCCGGCGCGATTTTTACATTTTCGGGAGCAAAAAAAAAAAAAAAAAAAAAAAAAATAGTGCTCACTACAAATTGTTAGACATTGGTATGTACCCAAATACATTGTGGTCACATTAACAGGGATGCTCTCAATATTTATTTCACTTTGTACATCAAACAAGATATTGTTTAAGCATCATACTTTGCAGTTGGGTATGATGGTCTGAATATTCATATGCGAGCGAGGAAAAATGTTAAGATTTGTGAGGTCGCAGTGCAAACAATTACATCTTATAAAGATAATTAAATCCAATACTGATGGGGTTATACTCACATTCTCATAACGGAAGACTGAAAAGACCTTTGATAAGTAACATAATTATATCATCTATGAAATCAATGCGAGTGAGTATAGCGAGCGAGTTTTGGGAGAAATTGCCCTAATATTCATTTTAAATTAGGGGCACGTTTAAAAAGAGAAGTTGATAATGGGAATTAATGAAAAGGGGATAGGTCCCTTATTAGACATATGGAAACGTTTGCTTAGATTTGTCTCATAAAAGAAGTTGACCACAAACTGACTCCCATGTACGGTGTTAAGTGCTCAGGGGTCACGGGCCACTGGCTTCACCGGGCAGGTAGTTCCATTATGTGAATGGGTAAATTAACTATTACAAAATGAGGAGACACATTACATTGTACAATAGGGACACACATTGTTTTTATCGTGCAGAACATACTCTTTTATTGACTTACTTATGCTATGGTCACATTACCCAAAAGTAGACTGCTCGGCGGCCGAGCGGCGAGTTTTTAACCAATTCTGCCCGGCGGCTGCCCAGCCACCGAGCGGCTGCCGTCCAGGCACCGCTCGTTTTTAGGGCATCGCTCGGTCGCCGCTGAAGTTTTAGCGCGGAGTTAAAATTTGGGCGGCGCCTGCTCACTTTTCACTCGCCGCCCAAAATACGCTCGGTGCCTGGGCGGTCGCCGCCCGGGCACCGACCTAATCGCTGGGCGATGCCTAATTCCAGCAGCGACCGAGCAGGCTACTGATCGGTCGGTCGCTGCTCTGATTTGTGACCATAGCTTTATTGAATGAAACTATAAAAACAAAATGCATTTTGTATTCTAACAATAATTGGAGTACAAAGAATAATAACAGGTGAATGAAATGCATAAACACCACCCCTGGGAAGGAAGCATTCATAAATTTGAATACATATAGTTGATAAACGACTCCGCATGAAACTATAAAACCAAAATGTAATTTGCGTACTGGCAATTGGAGTACAAAGAATGATAGCAGGTGAATGAAATGCTTCAACAACACAAACACCTGGGAAGGAAGCATTCATAAATTTGAATAGTTTAGTTGATAAATGATTCCGCATGTGGACGTTTTGTGGAGCAGAAAGCAGTGGATTCTTAACAACACAAACCCATTTAACAGAATGGCGGAACGTAAATCAAATTTGGCGCGGTTGGAAAATTCATCTTTCTACCCTGCGACTTTAATGGTACGATCCAGTAAACTTGAACAGTAAAATGGCTCTTATTTTAAAATTACTCTTTAAATAAAACCCAAAACATTAGTGGTATCAGACAAAATGTGTTTTTTCTTACTAATAATTAAAAAAGATGTATAAACATTGTGAAAGTGTAGCATTTTACGATAAAAGACACCGATTGAGCGAAGATGACGTCATTAGAACCTGTTTATGTGCGCTTGCATCACGGAATTCAAGGTCAAAAGGTCAATTCAGACGTTACGTTATTGGTCAAGCCTCTTTGTTTCCTTTATTCCGACAAAATTATACAATAAATCAAAACAAGTTTAATACCAGAAGAAAGCTAACGATTAGTATTTTCGTTAACCGCTAATTGTCCCAAAGTCGCTTGACCACAGTGAAACGAGTGAGAGCTTGCGAGAGCGGCCAAAGTATGATTGAAACTCGCTTTTTGCTCTTCTCCTACGGAAAAAGAGACGACATTGTGCTGGATAAATCTATTTTTTCCGACAAAAGTACAGACAATTTGCATATGGTCTTTTTATATTATACTTTATGAAATGTTACCTGAGTGACTCCCGGGCGCCCCAATGCTGGAAAGAAACGCACATTTTTAGAAAAACTTCACTTTTTCATGGAAAAATGCTTATTTGTTATATGCACGCAAGTCAGATTGAACGGATGATACAACGTTTCTATATGAAGGAAAAGGGGCACGGATCATTGTTAAAAAGGAAATTTTCAGAGGTGTAAAGGGGAATTTATCGCCCCTGAAAAGAGGCACTGAGTAAATATGAAAAGGGGTACTTATGAGAATGAAAAGGGACACTTTTAATAGGTGAAAAGGGGGCATTTATGAGAAGGAGAAGGAGCTCTCTTGTTCTAATGGGAAAACTTATCATACGAAAAAGGGGCACTAATAAGATTGGAAAAGGGGCACACGTGGAAATAAAAGGTTTGCTTAAGGGAGTTAAAGTGGGTAGTTATTAAAAGGGGAAGAATAGGGTAATTACCAGAGTAAAGGGGGCACTTGTCAAAAGTGAAATGGGCACTTTTTAAGGTAAAATGGGCCCTTTTGCTCTGTAAAAATGGCACTTCATACGAAGTTATAGGGGCACCTTTCCTACATAAGAAGAGCACTTTTGAGGTACTTGAAAAAGCCTCTGGCTATGAGGCTGGCTTTATATATTTATTTTTTCATTCATTCAAAATGGTTTATTTCAAATAAAACTTTCATCGCGGCGTTTAGCCGAATTACAAAGTTTACAAACAAAATTAAAACACATAATGTAATATAAAACATTCCATTCCATAACATGATATATTGAATCTGAAAAACAAATCAGTATAGATACGAGAAATATAGCTTATTGCAACATATGTCCACGTTACCATGACACATGGGAAACGCTTGAGCTACTTAAATTCGGCTGTCTTCGCCGACACCGTGGTCCCATCTGGAAGTCATCGTACTATAATACGATGGCTACACGATGGCATTGCTAGGGTTTGATGTAGTCGTGTTGCCTTCCGAAGACATTCGGACAGCATCTTGTTTCCTTCGTATTGTCTTCGTGAGGTAATAAATTCCCGATGGCACCGATGATCACACGAAGTCATTACGAGGATGACACGATTTGACAAGATGCCCTCACGATGGCCTTACGAAGGGCAACATGGACACACGAATACAACACGAAAATGAACCATCGCAAGGTCTTCGGGTAATTTTTTGGCACGCCAAAGATTTTGCCACCGCTCACGAAGTTGCTGCCGGAGCCTGAAAAATCCAACGGCGGCCACACGATTGCTTCAGATGCCCTCACGAATGGCCCGATATGGCCCGATGTGTTTACGATCAGAGCCGAATTTGGAATTTTCCTTCATCGTGTGTCCATCTTATATCATCTTCGGGACAGTGTGACGCGGGCATTAGCAATGTTCGTAATTCAATGCTGTCGTCTCGCGCCCCCCACATACCGGTATATTGCACGACGTACGCAATCCTTGTACCGCTACGAAGAGAATGATCATGATATAAATCATTTATCGTATTAAACTTTGTTTGTCAATGCTGCAGTTCTAAAATGTCTTAGTTTTTCATGGAAGAGAATGATTACTGAAGATGGAAAGACAGGATGGTATGAGAGAGAGGAGAGAGGGTGAGAAATATATGAGATAGAGGGAGAGAGAGATGAGACAAAGTCTCAAAGAAAAGAGCGACGAGATACAGGTGTGAGATAGGATACAAGGGGAGAGAGAGAGACAGAAGCAGGCGCGGATCCAGGGGGGCCGAGCGGGCCTTGCCCCCCCCCCCGCAAAAAAAAAAAAAAAAGAGAGAGAAGAAAAGAAAAGGGGGAAGAAGGAGATCGGGGGCCGAAAGGGCCTTGCCTCCCAGGCTGTTGACCCCCCCCCCCCCCCATCAAAAAAATAAGAGAGAAGGAAGGAAAGGGAAAGAAAAAAGGAAAAGAGGAGATAATGGC